GTGAAGTTTCGTGTGCACTTTCGTGCCAAACCGTGCACCCACCAACCCGAATTGTCCTTGAAAGCCTAAAACACAAATCACAGATGCAACCCGGGGCAGGTTGGTAGAATGAGAGATCCACCGAGAAAGGGGATCGAAATTTGTTTTTGGTCGCGTGTGGATGCCGAAATGAGTCGTTGCAGTCTGTTGTAACCTGTAGTCTGTAGTCTGTAGTGCATAGATTGGCACGGCACGATAAAGTGCCGTGAAGCCAAAATGCCGACCGCAAAAATGCCGACAACGACAGGTCTGTTTTTGCATGTAATTAGGCCAGAATGTCGGTATTTTGTTGGGACTTGGGTTTCTCGGTATTTGGGCTGTCGGCATTTAGGCTATCAATCGTGAAAAAATACCGGCACCTTGGTTCTTGGTGTTTAAATTCTCGACATTCTGATTGTTGGCATTTTGACTGTCGGGATTTTAGCTACCTGTCTTTGAGTTGTCGGCATTTTGGAGGCCGGCATCCTCAATTTCGGCGTTTTCGCTGTCGACATCCTCGATTCTGCCATATCGTCTGTCGGCATTCTGTGTATCAATCGATTTTGCTATCTTGGTCGTTTAAAAATGAATTTATCTCGTTTGTCGACATTTTCCATATTTCCGTTCTTCCCTCATAATTGGCCCGGTTTCCCTACTACACAAAAAAACGATTACCATCAACTAACTATCCGGCGCGAGGGCGTCTAAAATCACGCGCGTTCCCCTAAAAATACCCCCAAATTACGCGCGGCTCCTCTTTGCGGTCACAAAACAGAGAGTATCACCCTCTTGCTCGGCCTCTTGCTCCCCTCCGGATCGAACAACGGACACACGACTCGACACTCCAAATGACGCATCAAACGAGGTTGGCGATTTCGTATCTTTTTTCGTGTCTTGCGCTGGACAAATTGTGCAGGACGGCCAGGGATTTTCTCCCATTTCTACCCGGGTCCGGCTGGGATTTTTCCATCCCACAACTCTTGACGTTCTCTGCGATAGTCCTTCTCGGGCTCCTCCTCAGTTCGCCATCCCTGCCTGCCCACTGCCGATTCACCTCTACCACCTACTTTTGCCGGGGCTCAGCTGCCACAAACAGCCAAAGCTCCTCCTCCTTCTCGTGCTCTTCTTCCTGTCCCGGCCGTATTTGGGGCTCGTTTTCTAAAGGTTGCCCCGGGCTACCGCATTCTACCGTATTCTACCGTAGTCCCCGGATTCTAAATGCTGCTACTATTTTATTTTGCGGGATTCGTGGCCGTAGGACTTGCTGCAGACGCGGAATCGCTGGTTGGATCGGTATGGGTTTTTTAAGGACATTAACGGATCGACAACGAATCATCTTGTCATAGAAAATGTGGAAATCTGGCTTCTGAGTTCCTTTAAATTGATCTAAAGGGGCAGGGACAGGATAATCGCGTTTTGAAGCCAAAAATCGCTAAAAACCTAAAAATTTACGCTAAAAAATACCTCGTAAGATCTACTTTTTTCGAATTCCCGCACGTAATTCGTTATTTAATGCATTAGGCTACCTTTCATTTTGTACGTTAAACAACTATCTACGGCACCAATAAAAAGTGGACGATTTCGGCGTTTCGAGGCATCATGGAAAACAGGGGTCAAAAATGTCAAAAAAAATTCGGGCTCTTTCTGGGTGGATTTTGGTGTAGCGCGTAGCTGTCGCTTTCTAGCTGGTCATAGTTATCATTACGATATCTGGAATTTGGAGCTTTTGTGAACAAAACAAACCCTGACCCGTTAACCCGTTGGTGCATTGGCCCTCAAGTTAAATTCATCGCCGTTTCTACTGGCTTCTCTCTCCCTTTAAAACACGCACATTGTACCCATCATAAATAGGATGACAATCCCGTCGATAGGTATAACCCGAACCATCAACACAAATCGTCAATATCCCCCCGGATCGCCGGAACTTTTTCATGCTCACGGTATCAATTTCTCTGCCCTGTATATGCGGGATGGGGAGGAGGTAGACGAGAGACAGTGTGACGCTTCTGATCCGCCCAAAAAGCAGCGAAAAATAGAAAACAGATGAGAGAGAGACAACGAGAGAGAGGGAGAGAGAGAGAGAGAGAGAGAGAGAGAGAGAGAGAGAGAGGGTGTGAGACGGAAGGATTTCGACATAAGCTGGCGGAAATGGGGTGGTCAACAAGCAGCTATGGTATTTTCGGCGGCGCAAGGGACTGTTGATAAGGGGGACAAGGTTGCACCGAAAAGGGTGGAACTTGTAGCTTAATGTACATTAAGAAAATCGATGCCTAAATACACAGAAAAGCGAAAAATAATTTTTTCAGATCTCACGCGATGGGGCGGATATCATCCGAAAAGCGCAATCCGGCTTTGGAACTGTTAGACAGGTGAGGGAGAGAGAGAGGGGGGAAGAGAGAGACAGAGAGAATGAGAGAGAAATAACCGAATATTTCTAGTGCTCCTGCGCCGAGCAAGCCGAATGCGTAGAGGAGATGAAGCGCCAGGCGAACGAGTGCAATCGGCCGTGTTTTGAGCGGTTTAGCAAGGTTTTTATTTTTTTTAGAAAATTGCAGAGAAATGCATCGAATTACGTAATTTTTTAATCTAAAAATCCATCTTTTAGGTGACAGACCGTGTCGACGAACTTTTCACATGCTTCGACGCCAAGGCCGACATCATTGAGCGGTTTTTGGGATGTTTTGAGCATCAGGTTGACGGGTAGGTCCGATTTTCTAACAACCTATTCATTAACCAAATTTTCCATCGTTGAGTTCAGTTACAAAAATTTTTGTTGCCGTTATTTTGTAGATCCTGCTACTTTTTACTAATTCTAGATGCATCCAAACCTCGATGGGTCCCCAAATTCCGAAGACGAACATTTCAAACCTCTTCACGCTGGCCCAATCGGCCCTGGAGCGAAAGGACCCGACACTTGATGTAAGAAATTAGAGATAGAGTGAGAGAGATAGTGAGAGACAGAGTGAGTGAGAAAGGAAGAGAGTGAGAAAGCTCCGTGTATATTTGAAGGCATTAGAAGAAAAGACTCTTCTTTTTAGGCTCTTCTCTCACCCATCAAGCACATTCTGGATTCGGCCGGCGAGTGGGCACTGTGCTTGAAGGAATGCTTCTTGGGCAGGAACAAGCATGGATTCTGCTTTGACCGAAAGGGGTAAGATCATAAATTATGCTAATTTTGTAGGATCGAGCTCGATCGCGATACTACGATCGCGTATTGTGTCGTACCGTGCGTACTTTATCGTATTAGCGCACTGTAAAATACTGTAGCGTGCTTTACCATAGTGTAGTGTAGCGTAATGTAGTCCATTGTATCGTAGCGTCCTTTCGCGTATTGGAGTGTTCCGCAGGCTACGCTATCGTACTGTAGCATCCTTCAGCGTATCGGAGTGTACAGCGGTGTCCTAAAGCGTACGGTAGCGCATTCTAGCGCATTTATCATACTGTAGCATCCGTACGGTAGCGTACTGAACGGAGCTAGTCCATGGTCAAGGGGACCCCAGAATTCCCAACTGCACTGTAAAATACTGTAGCGGGCTTCATCGTAGTGTGGTGTAGCGTAGTGTAGTCCATTGTACCCTAGCGTCCTTTCGCTTATTGGAGTGTTCCGCAGGCTACGCAATCGTACTGTCGCACCCTTCAGAGTGTCGGAGTGTACTACGGTGGCCTAAAGCGTACGGTAGCGCATTCTACTGTTATCATACTGTAACATCAGTACCGTAGCGCTGTGAACTTTTGATCGTATGGCAGCGTATTGGAACGTAGCAGGTGTCGTTTTCGCAAAAACTAATTTATCTATTCCAGATGCCAGCCAAAGCTCGACGAACGGAAGGCGCAACGCTCTTTCAAGCGCTGCACGCACCGTATTCACTGGAAGGATCAGGCAGGAGATTTGTGCCATTGCTCTGCCAACGCTGGATTGACGTGAGTTCTTTGGGATGTGCATAAAAAGGAAAGGGAGAGGGAGAGAGAGAGAGAGAGAGAGAGAACGAGAGTGAGAGCGATAGATAAAGAGAGAAGGAGAAAGATAGTCCTTAAGTATTTGGAAATTCTGGATCCAATCTGGAACCACAAATGCTCTCTGCTAGCCTGCCTTTCTGCGATTTTTAAGAGGTTGGGGCATCGTGGAAAAACTGCCTCTGTTAGCCTTGTTAGCCGCCTATGAGGTGTCATTAAAATGCTAGCAAATGGAAAGCCAGTCCGGTTTCCACAACGATCTCTGCTAGTTTGCCTCAAGCTAATACCGCGAATTTTAATATATTTTTCAGCGAGCTCAACCAGTACTGCCTGCTCTTCGATCACATGAAATCGGCCAGGCGTCATCCGCAGCGGGGATAAAAACCTTTTTTTTGTTTTTCAGATCTTCTTTTAATTTTTTCCATAAGGCTGTACATTCCATTCGCTAGGCGCTCGCTAAAATACGCCCCAAAAATCAGGAATTCCAATTAGTCCACTGAATTCGAAAAAACGCTCTGCTTTACACCCCGTGAAAATTGATTTCCAAGCCGCTATCCCGCATATAAAACAACGGGAATTTTTTGATTTGCTATGTAGTGTATTGTCTCGGAATATTTGCTTTTTTCTATCTATGAATTCGATAAATTCTTTGTTTTTAATCTGTTATCAGGACGAGAAAATTTAATAAAATCAGTGTGTTGAATACGGTATTTTTTGAAGGCTAAGGTACGTCCGACAACTAATAACGAACGGGTCGATGAATTCTGTCGTTTTAGAGGGACGCTGTACGCAGGAAAACTGATTCCGATCAAATTACTGAAAATTATTTTTTTAATTATTTTTCCGTGGTTTTTAGGATCGAGTGGGTTTTACAAATTGGCTTTTTGGATCGTTTCTTTACTGGATAGCTTTTTTAAAATAAAGATATTTATCTGCAAATCTTATGATTCTGGTTACCCGACACTCTAAAAAAACACAAAAAATCAAACGTTAATCGGTACAAATCGAAAGAAAACTATCAAAAGCTAATCCGCAACTAGTCCGCTTCCGGCAGCTCCTCCGAATGGGTATTTTGGTAGGTTAGATGGTGAGCCATCTGAAAAACTTTTTTTGAAAGATACTGTAAGTTGTCTAATACCAAATCCTGTTCATCTAAAAGTACACTCTCTACTCGAGGATTTTTCTGTAAATACCGTAAAAACGTACTCTATCTCTAAGCTACAGTATCCTCTACCTTCAAGAAATTCCGCTACCCACCTATCCCGCTATCCGGTCTACTGTTAATCTGCTCGCCTCGCGTCTCCGTCTTTTTCTCGGTCTGGACGCCACGGGAAGTTTTGGAGCGACGGTAGAGTAGAGAATCATCGACCCTGAAAAAAATGTTTTCTATCTGCCTCTCTCTTTGTGTCTCTCTCACTCACTCACTCACTCACTCACTCACTCACTCACTTACTCACTCGCTCACTTTCTCTGTCTCTCTCGCTCGCTCTCTCTCTCTCTCTTTAGCCGTCTATCTCTCTCTCTCTCTCCCCTCTCTCTCTCTCTCTGGCTTACCGTAACAATGGAAATTCCCTCTCCGACGTGCTCCCCTCCGGAAATGGCAGCAGCCTCATCCAGCTCTCCACTTTTCGAAGCTGCTTCTTGGGTTTTGGTTGCGAACCCAGGATTCTATCCGTAGTATCCATCAGCCCGAGTTTACGTTGGGCCCTGAATTTGCATGTTGAAGCTGATGATTTTTTGAGAGATGAAGGTCAAGCATATGTTCATAGTTTTAATAGCTTGCAAAAATTGGGAGTAAAAATAAAATAGTAAAGTTCAAACCTCGCCGATCTCATCGACGCGCTGCCCTTTTGTTCAAAAGAAGTTGAAGGCGGCGTCAGAATTGATTCCACGTCATCACCATCGTCTATTAGTTGCGGCACTAGCTTCTTGGGCGGTGACGCGACGATGCGTCTTCCAACCGTCGGAGGTGGAGATAATTGAGAAAAGTCGAGCTTTTCTATGTGTGGCAAGGCGTTGGCGAGCTGAAAATTAAGAATGGCATTTTCAATGATCACCGAATTCTAAAGAACCTGTTTTGCGATTTTTCAAACGCGTGTCTACAAGCCGCGGGCTAGCAACGATAATTGTGGAAATTTTGTCTTGGCCTTGCTACTCCCTCGAATCCGACTAGCAAGCAATTCCGGGATTTTTCGTGAGCTCCCGCTATATCTCAATCAAAATAGATTTTTTTTGCTTGCTAGGAGGGCAATCCAGCAGAGATTTTTGCGGAAAGGAAAAATTTTTGCTAACCATCTGCATATCCGCCTCCGGAAAATCCTCATCCAGGTCCTCGAGCTCAGCTTCAGCTTCAGTTCCTGCCGGTCTCTCGTACTCGAAAATTGCTTCCGGCTCCTCATCGTCCGGCTAAAACTTCAAATTAAAAGAATTTTAGACGCTGTTTCGATCAGAGATTCGATAAAGCGGGAAGATCGACGAGTCAACGACCGATGGTCTGGAAAAGGACGTCATTTGGCGTCTAAGCTTATTCTGGGGTAGTGTTACGTTCGAGACCTAGCCGATAGAGGGATCGATTTTTGTATGTCCTAGTCCCTTTAAAGATGGTTGACTCACCTCCTTCGACTCGGCCATACTGATCCCCGCCGAATCCAACGATGAGCTTTTCCGGGGATGAAAAAGCTTGGCGAATTTGTCGAGGCGCTTGTTCAGGGCCTGGAGGTCGACCTGAAAAACGTTTTTCATTACTCCGAGACTCGCTTTTAGGGTATTTTAGAGTTAAAAACTTTTTTAGAAAATGAAAACCATGCAACAAGCAATTTCTGGTTAGTCTTTCGGAATTGCGAATTTTAGCGGAACGGAAAAGTTGTAAAACATTGCATAAAAATAGCGCAGGCTCACCTCTAGGCTACGTTTTCTAAAAAAATCAATATTCAAGGCAGAGAATGCAAACGACGGACCTGGATCTGTCTACCGCAATCTTCCAAATTACGCGGGCTGGCCACGGTTTCGGTGTAGAACGATGATTTTCGAGTGAAACGACGTGGCCTTTCGGTAAATGAGCCGATTTGGGAGAGGAAGGAGGACTCCTAAATGTCATTATCAATTTTAATGGGATGTCACAGTCTTTCACTATGTCGCTCTCTCTCTCTCTCTCTCTCTCTCTCTCTGTTTGACTTTCTCTTCCAGCTTACGGAATCGACTTCTCGCTCCAAATCCCGTTGTGTTTCCACCATTCTCCTGACCCGGTCGTCTAATCGCTTCCTAGCGGCGATCTACAAATCCTGTGATTTTTGGGCTAGAACCAGAGAGAGTGTTTGAGAGAGAGAGAGAGTGAGAGTGAGTGAGAGAGAAACGATTTCCTAACTCACCACGGTGCCGGCCGGTCCATCCCTCGGTAATGCACCCCTTCCAAGAAGTCGGACTCCTCGCTCGGCGTATTCTAAAGTATGTTTTGATGTCGCTGAACCCCTGAATTACCCGAAATCAGATCCTTCTTATGAGTGGGCTGCTGATGGTAGGCAGAAGTCGACGGTCTGAAATTAGAAGGTTTGTCATTCCTAAACACAGCCTCCAGCAGGTCGTCTGGGCTTCTAAGGTCCTTTAAAAGGTACCTGGTCAACATCATTGAAAAAGGTTGATCGACACTCATGCTTCGTCCACCGACTTGATGTGTTGGCTCGAGCCTAAAATTGAAATTTTGGCGGGCTACGGTAGCTCGATATCCTCGATTAATGAGCCAGCATTGAGCAGATTACATTGCTTTACAAAATTTCGGAGCTCCATTTTTGCTTGTATTCGATTTTTGAGGAACATGGCTTCTATACCAACGTGGAAAATTTTGTGGAAGCATTTTTCACCCACCTCGGGCTATTCTGGGGTCTAGCTATGCATAGATCTTTTGGGCTGACGTGTAGAGGGATTGCTATTAGCGATCTGTCCGTAGTAGGCATCGTAGTCCAAGAGGTGGCGAGGTATTGGAGCATCGTGTACACCGGCTGGCTGACCTAAAAGGAGGAATAGAAAAGCTATGGATCCGAGCCTTGCCGGCCCCGTTAACCAGTAATGAATGTAGCTGACCTTGTTCTCCACCCGAATATGCCCTCGTAGCCATTCTCCTTCATCTACCTCACGCTCATGAGCATCTACCTCATGCTCGAAGAGGTGCTCTAGCCAGATCTAAATTGATAACATGATTTTTGAGTATTAGATATTTTTTACCTCTCTAGTAGCACTACAGTATGCGGGCATGGTGTTTCTTCGCGGAAATCGTTCCTCAATAAACCGGAGGAAGACGTTAATGTGTGCCAAATCTTCCTCGTCCGCTAGGGAGAAGAAGCTAAAAAATAGATTTGTACTCTCTCGCTCTCTTTTTATGACCCTCTCTCTCCCCCTCTCTCGCTTCTTTTTTCTACCTCTCTCTCTCGCACTCTGTCTCTCTCTCTCACCTCTCCAGCAATTGCTCATTCGTTTTCTTGTCCTCCTCAACTAGTAGGGCCTTGTATTTTTTCGCCAATTTTTGGGCATCAGCCTAAAAAACTTTTTCTGAATTTCGATGACTTAACTAACCCAATCCTTAGCTAACGCCTGGCTGAATAGATCACGATATGTAAATTGGAGGCTCAGGATCAGGAGTCGGAGTAGACGCAAGGATACTGTAGACGAATTCACGACCCGCATAGCACCACGAGGGGAGAGGATATTTGGCTGAAAAAAAATCAGTTCTTTTCTCTAGCACTTTCTCTCTCTCTTTCTATCTCTCTCTCTCTCTCTCTCTCTCTCTCTCTCTGTCTCTCTCTCTCTCTCTCCCTCTCTAACCTTAAATTGCATATCATATTGAGCAAGGATGGCCCGTAATTGTTCGACCTCATAGTGTAGACGGTTTGTCGCGTGGAGACACTAAAAAGAAGGAAAATTCAGGCAGGTAAATACGCGTAAAATCCCTAAAAAAGCTATTAAAAATAGATACCTCGAGCAACAAATTAACAAACGCATAGGCCTGCCAATGGGCGGCCACCTCGTCGGTTTGTCCCTTCTTCGGAGAGCCTATTAGGGCGTTGGGGACGGCGTAGATGGGAGGACGGGGAAGCTGAAAAACGGATTTATACTTTACGATGTCGATGCTAAACTTAACGTAAGAGCGAGAGAGAGAGAGAGAGAGAGAGAGAGAGAGAGAGAGAGAGAGAGAGAGAGAGAGAGAGAGGAGAGACAAGATATAGAGAGAGCGAGGGAGAGAGAGCTAGTAAGAGACAAGAATTAAAATTATATAGGTTTAAACCTTATTAAACTTACGGTCTTGGCAAATTCCGAACTACTATGTACGGGCAGCCGGGCGAAGACGAATTCTGCTTTTCCGAGCAGGTAAATTTCGAAGGCCATCAGCCGACTAGTGGATAGTACTGAAACGTGGCTGCTTTTTATAGTTTTTTGCAGTTTCTGTAGGTAAATCTAAACTAAGCTCGTGTGGATCCGAATATATCGATTTTAACGCGTTTTTTATAAAACAGCTAAGCTTTCTCCGAAAATTCACAAATATCCAGCTCCATAATCGCCGTCGCCGCTTTTCTACAGTACTTCTCGAGCTCGCCGGCGGTAGACGTGCTTGGTTTTACCAGTAGCCGTTCAATCTAGAATAAAATGTAAATTATTTTAAACCGATTTCTAAAGGGCGAACTAATGAAAATTTGATCAAAAAGATTAATTCGGTGAATCGTAAGGCTCGGTAGAAAAATTTGTTATAAAATTTGAGTTTTTATGATTGAAAACAAATAAAATTGTCCATCTATATAATACTACAAAAGACAACGAAAAAAATTACGTATTTTACCCACCTCTTCCGGAATTCCCTCATGGAGCATGTAGTAAATGTGATCGGAGGTCAAGGAAAACCTGAAAATTCGTCAATTCCTGTGAATTTTTACGCTTTTTTTGGCGTTGCTAAATCATTATAATTTTCTATTACATACCCGAAGCAAAAATCGGCAAATATCCTCAGGATCAGCCCGGATCGGATGTCGACAAAGTGGTCGCTGTAGAGGATCGCCTAAAAAAGGCGCGTACACAGCCTATCTACCTCGAAAAATGGGTCCAAAATTGACAAATACAAGAATAAAAACTACCTTCTTATTTTGTAAATTAAATAAAGTTATAAAAGTATTTAACGACGACTAAATTTTATTAAAATTCTATTTGTAAACGTTAGGAAACCCTAAAAATATGAAAATTTTCGCAATAAGTTTTAAAGCCAGAGAATATCTTTAAAAAAAACCCTTGGAATTCTTACCTCCAACGGAAGGCCAAGAAAGACGAGCATTATCACTGGGCATTTTGGCCCTAATTCCGGTGAAAGTGCCAGCGAAACGTCAGCTCGATTCAAGCGTTTTGTGGTGGTGGGAAGGGCTGAAAATTTGCTGTATTTACTTTAACTTTATTCTTGCCTTTTAAGCCATTAAATTGCTTGATTTTTTACTATCTAATACGCTAATTTTATCATAAAGTAACGGAAACCATCAATATCGATTTTTCGGGCTTGATTCAAGCATCTGTCGGTGCGCCCCGGCCAATGCAGCTCCTTCCCTTCAACAACCCTGCCCCCAGGCCCTCTCCTATGGGGGTGTAGCTCAGAGGTAGAGTGTTCGCTTTGCATGCGAAAAGTCCGGGGTTCGAACCCCCGTACCTCCAAAGACTTTTTGCTTTTTGGCGAAAAGATGTATGGCTTGATAATTAATGTTTTGCAGATTACCCGGGGTGCCATTTTTTAAATTGTCGGGTGTTTATGACCGAAACTTACCATCCTGGCTCAGCTCGCACCAAACAAAAAGCGTGGGAAGGCTCTCGCCAACTTCTGGCAGGAATAACGGCAGATCAAGGAAATAGGCGGCTATTAGACGGACAACATCACGGAGTTGTTCGCCGGCATGGGCGTTCCCTAAAAAAAATATTTTAAAAAGGTAAACTGATATTTTTTTTGGTTTTTTATGCACTTTTTGGAGGTATTACCGATGCCCCACTATTAAATAAAATTAGAATCAGAAATCCTCGTTGCATTTTTGCTTATAAACTACCCGAAAACGAAAACTAAAAAGGATTAAAAACCGTAGAAAGATTAAATTTAATCGTAAAGTTCCAAATCGGCGGTTTTGAAGTTTAATAAAATTCAGAAATTGTCATTACTTTTGTTTAATTCAAATATATTCGAACAGCGCGAAAAACTGGTTAAAACGCCATAAACAATATTTTTAGGTGATTTTCGGTTGCCCTAGTGGCCAAAATTTTAATTCTCAAAAATAAATTCTTCATAAATCACAGCTCCTTAAATTCACATAAATTTTAAATCAACCATGGTCATGTTTTCCACGCCTGGCTAGCTAGGAATTAGCCAAAAAAAAAACATCAATTTCTCCCTTTTCCTTCAAATTGCTTTTTTCCTACCATTATGCGCATCCAGCAATAAATTCCGGAATCGTTGCGCGTGGAAAAAGTCCAGTAAATGATCGGCCGTCATCAGTAAAAGCACATTTATCTAGAATTCAAGTCCATTTTAGCACCAGCATAGTCGTTAGTAGCGGCTCGGAATATTGAGCGTGGTCTCTCTAGACGTGGCAGTTGATTCCGAATGAATGGACCTCCAGGCCGGCCGATGAAGTGGAATCGGGTAGAGCGGATGTGGCAGTGGCAGAATGTATCAAGAAAGAATCGGGGCCTCCGAAAGGGGGAGAAAAGCCCTATAAGCTGGGGAATATGTGGCTGGCTGGCTGGGGTCGGGCCAGCTGTTTCGTAGCCATGGTTACCGGAAAGGGTAGCCACACAACACTGCCCGTCATTAGGCAAAGGGAGATTTGGAACTAACAATAAGTCCGTCGAAGCGGTTAATTGCAAAAAAAAATGGAGAGAGAGAGCGGGTGAAAGAGAGAGAGAGAGTGAGCAAGAGAGCAGAGAGAGAGAGAGAGAGAGAGAGAGAGAGAGGGGGGGGGGGAGGGAGAGAGAGAGAAAGAGAGGGAGAGAAACAGGGGAGAGGAGAGAGAGAGAGAGAGGCGGAGGGAGGGGGGAGGGAGAGGAACGAGAGAGAGAGAGAGAGAGAGAGAGAGAGAGAGAGAAAGGGGGAGAGGGAGAGAGAGCGCGAGAGATAGTGAGAGAAAGCGAGAGAGATCTTCTAAACTTTGTAAAAGCTTTTCCACAAAATTTCTAAGTTGAACTATCTTGTGTGTTTTCTTATCTTCTTGAATAGTTCTCTCCTCTGTTAGATTTAGATGCGGATTTTAACCCAAATTCAACCAAAGCAGGGACATTAGGCGGAACATGCAGCAGTCCAGTCCTGGACGCCCTAGGGTAGATAGAATTTCACTGTTTCATTAGCTTTTAGGTTAGCTTAAAATTGCCCGGATCAAAGGATTTTTGGCGTATATTGATCGTAGTTTGCAATATAAGGTTTATTACGCGTAACCCCACTGGGTTTCAGCTTATCAATAAGCTCGAAATAAACGCTTTCTAGGCTTGGTAGCAGAGACCGGTTCCGTTCTTGAAGCAAGTGTTCCAGACGGAAGTGGTGGTGTTCGAGTTCGTGCAGCACAGACTGAAAAGTAGCTTACGGCATCATTCTAGCCTTGCTCAGCCTTTAGAATACGATAAAATCATACCCATGATAATCAGTGTTGGTGGCATAGTTCCAGGCGCACAAGCCAAGGGTGCTCTGGCAGCGGCTGTAGCACGAAGAGTAGCAGCTCGACGCGCTCCAGCTAAAAATAGATTTAGTGAGCGAGCGAGAGAGGGAGAGAGAGAGAGGGAGAGAGTGAGCGAGAGAGTGGGAGAAAGAGCTAGAGAGAAACAGAGAGACAGAGAATCAGAGATAGAGCGAGAGAGACAGAGAGAGAAAGAGCGATTCCGATACCTTCCGGTAGCCTGAGCAGGCGCGCAGTTGCACAGCTCCCAGCCGCTGCTCTGGAAGGCGAACCCGGTCGACAGGGAGGTAGCCTGGCCGTTGCAGTAATCCTGAAATTGGCAAAATTACTTTCTTAGCTTCAGCTTTAGCTTTAATTTACCCTCCCCCGATAACAGAAAAGTTCGACCAATTCTTGAGTCCTTAAAACTTGCCGCGCACGCGTCCTTCTTCTGCTTCGTCGTGTAGGTGGAGGGCAGCTGGGTGAACGTCGAGACGGCCACGACGAGCACGGCGAGGATGAGGAAGGAATGCTGAAAGGTGACCTAGCTACCGTAAGGCAGCTAAATCTTACCATGATTGGATGAATGGTCGAACTGGTGGCTCGAATAAGATACCCTTTCTACCACAGCTGCCGTATTTATACAAGTTTCCCCTCGTAAATTCCGATCTCCCACAACCCACTCGCAACGTAAAATCGGCATTAGTCTGGCTGACCCCCGGGACATTTTGCTACGAAATCCAACAGTAGACAGTACCCAAAAAGTCCTATTTTTACGACCGTACCGAAAAAGTTGGATTTGGAGGTTAGTAAAAGCCCACGCGGCCATAACACAGTTCAGCTCACATTCTCTCTCTGTCTCTCTTTCGCTGACTCTCTCTCTCTCTCTCCGTTTCGTTTTCTTTAGCTCTCTCGCTTTATCTCCCTCTTCTCTCTCGCTTCTCTCTCTGTATACTAGTGATGCTATTATTCAAATCTTAAGCCTAATTTGCACCCGCCGAGGCAAATCCGCGGATTTGATTTGAATAAGGTTTCAGCACTCGCAAGATCAATTTATTACAGCACAGCGAGATCATTTTAGGTGAAGTGACCGGAATTCGCTGTGAACCCGCTTATTAACCATTCCAAGTCATCACCTATAATAATTTTCTTGACGCGTCTGTCTGTTAAAGGGACTCCGAACTGCCAAATAAAGCCCTTTTGGGAGGGCTCTTTGATTTCTGGCAAATTGCCAGCGGGCGCTGCGGGATGAGAGCCCTCACTCTTTCGATTTTTGCGCGTAGTTGTCTTTGCCCGGTTTCTTTGTGAAAACACTATAATTCGCGCATTCTGAGCGTATTCTTGAGATCCTCACTCAATTCTAAATAGTTTTGGTGTTTTAATACTCAAATTTGGCCCAGAAACAGCCGAGAACGCGATTTCGAGGTGACAACAGGCAATTTCAAATTTGTGAGCTTCCCGCGCCTCTAGGTGTACAGAGGCCTCCGACGTACAGGGCTCAGATTTTCGGGCCGTCACTCAATTTTTGGCATTTCGTAGCCCCTTTAAGGAGTCCCGAATTCAACTCGAAGGGGGAAGGAGCTAGAGCCTTGGTCTCTTCGGATTCGGATAGAGTGTGGTCAGAAACCCCAAACTGATAAAAAAATTACGGAAAAGTTTTCATTTAAATTATTAAAATGAACTTTGAAATTTTTCCTTAGTTAGTAGGGATGGGGGACGGAAGTTGGGTAGATTTTGGACATAGTGAGCCAGGTGGCGCTCGTTTCGTGGATGCAAATTTTCACGGAAGCCATTTCATTTCTTTTATTTCTTCCACGCATCCGGTCGGTCGTTATTTTCGTTTTGAAGGGAATTTCGGCTATGGGAGGTATTTAAAGCCATCAGGAAGGTATCTAGGTAGTTTTTGAAGGGGATTGCGGCTAGGGAAGGTATCTAAAGCCATCAAGAAGGTATTTAGGTAGTTTTTTATTTAGGTATGGTAGTAGTTTAGGTATCTAAGTTTTTACAGGGGGTTGGCTATAGGGGGTATCGGAAGCGCTTGGCGTGGGTATTGATGAAGATAGAGATGTAATGTGGTGGTGTAGAACATGGAGGGTAGCCCGAAGGCCAGTCGATTACAGTCGCGAAGCGGCTGTAATCGGCTGGTATGTACAAATATCATACATGGGATGCATGTGTCATGGGCTAAACTCCAGATAACCCCCCCCAGCCGACCCCCACCTATCGTATCTCGGCTCACTGTTCATCTACAGGTGTGTAAAGTATACCAAAATACTCGCCACAGCAAGACGAACATTTTGGTATACTTTACACACCTGTAGATGAACAGGGAGCCGAGATACAAAAGTTGGGTGCCGGCTGGGGAGGGGGGTTATCTGGAGTCTTACCGTGTCATGATTCCAAACTTTAAAAAAATTCATACAATGACAATCGAAAGGTTTACCAGTGGGTATCGATTAATTAGGCCAGGAAACAGGTATTCAGTATATCTCCGTTGGTGGACAACATTTTGCAGCGCCCTTCTTATAAAGGTGTTCACCGGCTTGACACATGTCGTATGCGAGTTGCCAAACTAAAATTAACTAGGCGTTAGTTTATGGCCACAAATAGTTAAAGTTGCACTCGAAAAGCTTCATTGGTAACGTTTACGGCTACGGTTTACTTTACCCCCCCCCCCAGCCGGAAGTTTTTGGCTATAACTTTTTTATTTTACATTATTGTAGGCTCAAATTAAAACTCTTAGTATATTTTTCGACGCTCTATCGAATGGCGTTGCAAAAATCCCGACAAAATAAGCGAAAATACCGACAACTTTGAGGCCCTTTGGCTGTGGGGGGGGGGGGGTAAAGTAAACTCTTACCACGACATTGGGTAGAGCGTCAAAAAATACTAAAGGATTCTATTCCAGCTTGAAGAAACTTATTTACAAAACGCTGTTTACGTACTTACTACAGTGCGGGTCAAAATGATAAGCCCACCTCGTTTTGTCGATTTTTTCTGCGGAAAAGCATATATCTGACTAAGCCAAATACTAGGTCATGTAGTCCTGAAAAAAAGACGAATTTTTCGATGTACTTGAATTGTCTTTAAATTAACGGGAAGCCGATTTATGAAGCAAAAAGATAAAATAGTGCGAAAAACCGATGTGTCAGAAAGGCAGGTCCACACTTTACATATGATTACAACCAACAATGTGTATGAATATTAGATGCTAATTATATTCTAATTATGGTAATCTTTCTCCGGTTAAATTTTTCGAATTCATATTGCTACTATGCCTATTTTTCTACACTGCATCCCGATCAGCATCTATTACTATTCATAACCATTGTTGATTGTAATCATATGGAAAGTGTGGACCTATCATTTTGACACAGCGGTTTCTCGCACTATTTTATAGTTGACTTTATAAATCGGCGATCCGTTATTGTAGAGATATTTAGAGTAAGTGGAAAAATTCATCTTTCCAAGGGCTACAAGACCTGTTGTTGGGACTGACTCGAAAATGCTTCTCCGCCGAGAAAATTGCGAATAACTGGGTGGACTTATCCTTTTGACCCGCACTGTAGTGAAAAACAGTTGGAAAACACTTTCCCTATCAATATTATGAAAATTCAGTCCTAAGAAAAGAGTTGATAATTTTTCATAACGTGAAAAAATATAGAATATCTCGGGCCTAATCAACGTTTTCACGAACCTTTGTGCATTTTGCTCCCCGTTTCCGTATCAATCCATCGTTCGTAAACATTGTCGATGGTTGGATGACGCACTAAAGGCATCAAAAGATACCTATAAAAAAATTACACAACTATCCTACTATATATAAAAAAATAGTGTCTGTATGTGTGTGAGTGTGTCCGAGCCACTTTGCATGCAACTTCCGTCAGCGTGTTCCAGTTAGTGTTGGTTTTTTACCGGTACCGAAACCCAGTACCGGTACCGACAGCCATTTTTTACCGACGCCATTTTTACCGGTACCGGACCTCCGGTACCGGTACCAAGTGAGTACCGATGGCATCGGTACTTTTTCGGTACCGGTACTCGGCGGGTACCGCCGGCTCGGTACTTTTCCGGTACCGGTACCAAGTGGGTACCGAGAGGGTCGGTACTTTTTCGGTACCCGTACCAAGTGAGTACCGACGGCTTCGGTACTTTTCCGGTACCGGTACCAAACCGACCGGTAACGGTACTGCGGGTCGGTACTGGCGGGGTCACAGGGGGCCGCCTTGGTTCCTGGCAGTGGGCCAGACGCGTGGCGTGTCGCCGCGGTGACAGGCAAGGGCCCGCCGGTATTTCTTATCGAATTAAAGCCTATATATCGAAGGCCAGAGCAGAATTTCTTTAGAACAGATAGCAATACAAACCCCAGTATAAATAAAGGCAGGAATATGATTTATTTTTGTAAAAAAAGGTACGCAGCGGCGACACGCCACGCGTCTGGCCCACTGCCCTGAAGCAAGGCGGCCCCTGTGACCCCGCCAGTACCGACCCGCAGTACCGTTACCGGTCGGTTTGGTACCGGTACCGCAAAAGTACCGAAGCCGTCGGTACTCACTTGGTACCGGTACCGAAAAAGTACCGACCCTCTCGGTACCCACTTGGTACCGGTACCGGAAAAGTACCGATGCCATCGGTACTCACTTGGTACCGGTACCGCTCCCCGGTACCGATGTTCGGTACCGGTACCCGCCGAGTACCGCGGTACCCAGGGGGTTCGGTACCGGTACTGGGTTTCGGTACCGGTAAAAAACCAACACTAGTTCCAGTAGTATCTCAATAAGGGGGGTAGTTAGGGGTATGTTTTATACCTCATTAGATGCGTAATGGTCTGGAGATGACTGCACACTTATAAGATTTTACAAAATCAGCGATTTTCAACGTTAAATTTAAGTTTTTGTAAAAATTTCGGACACCCTCTTTGTTAGGAAAAAATTAACATACACCGGGAGTGATGATAGCCTATATAATGGGAGAGAGGCCGCGTTTTCTTTTTTTTTGCCATCTGAATTCGGGAAAATGATGTAAAGTGAAGAATTTCATGGGATAGACGGGGCCAGGGTTGAAAAGTCGCGAAGCGGCTTTTCAACCCTGGTATTTTCTATATCCTATATCCTATCCTGTATTGTGTGTGTCTGTGCCACTTTGCATGCAACTTCCGTCTCTCTGTCCGGAGGATATCTCGACAATAGAGTAGTTTTAAGGTATGCATGATACGTCATAAGATGCGTAATGGCCCTGAGATGACTGCACTAATATCAAATTTTACAAAAACAGCTATTTTCGACATTCAATTAGGTTTTTGTGGAAAAATCGAGCACCTTCTTTGTTAGGAAAAATTCGCATACTCCGGAAGTGGCTGTAACCTATATATTAGGTTGAACCGAAAATTCTTGTAATATTTTTCATCCTACCTTATATAATTTTCAGGGGGTAAAGTCACTACCCCGAAAAGTCACTACCCCGAAAAGTCACTACCCCGAAAAGTCACTACCCCGAAAAGTCACTACCCCGAAAGTCACTACCCCGAAAAGTCATTACCCCGAAAGTCACTACCCCGAAAGTCATTACCCCGAAAG